GATAACTTGGATTTGTATTGCCCATTTAAAAAAACAAAACAACAACAACAACAACAAAACAGAACTGCATTTTTCAAGAGTGACATTTCTCATATAGATTCAATATTTTGTACTTTTCAATGTATAATTTCTTCAAATATGTTTTTAGTGGGGCCAGAAAAGTGGTTTGGCAGATAAATTAGGTGCCTGTCGATAAACATGACAACCTGTATTGGATCCTAGGAACCCATAGGATGGAAGGGGAGAATCAATCCCCAAAGTTGTCTAATCACAACACGCACACCATAGCATGTATACACATACATAAATGCAAACACAGCAAATAAGTGTACAACATTTAAAAAATTAAAATGAACAACAACAAAGGCCAAGCTAGGTGTGCTGGCTCACACCTTTAATCCCAGCACTCAGGAGGCAGAAGCAAACAGATTTCTGTGTTCAAGGCTAGCCTAGTCTACCTATTAAGTTTTAGGCCAGTCAGAGCAAAGAGAGATCCCATCTCAAACAAACCACCAAAATTTGAATAAAGAGCATTACATTTTAAAATTTTAAATAGAATCAATTTTAAAACAAAATAGTTTTGTGTGATAAAGCAGACATACTTGTTGGTTTGGTTATCTGTGTTTCCAACATATACCTGGTGAAGAATTTGTGACCTAACAGACCTCCACTTGGCTGGGGATGTAGCTCAGTTGACAGACTGCTGGCACTGGGTTCCATCCTCAGTACCATATAACAAACTGGCCAACTAATGCAATGACCTGTGATGCCAGCCTCTCCAGAGGCCCAATCAAGGGGACCAGGAGTCAAGGTTATCCCTCACCTCAGCCAGTTCCTGGCCAACCTGGGCTCCACTTAGACAAGTGAAAAATCAGAAACTATGCAAACTTATGCTACCAATGTTCTGATTCTTTAATCTACTCTTTACTTGACTGTTGCCTGATGATTGTGAAAGACCAGAGAATGGGTCTGTGTGTAACAAGTGCTTTGTCCAACTAGCCCGGAACATACACTTCAGGGTCCTCGTGGGGTTCTTCATCAGTCTCCTGCAGATATTTTTTTTTTTTTTTTTTTTTTTTTTTTTGGTTTTTCGAGACAGGGTTTCTCTGTGGCTTTGGAGGCTGTCCTGGAACTAGCTCTTGTAGACCAGGCTGGTCTCGAACTCAAGAGATCCGCCTGCCTCTGCCTCCAGAGTGCTGGGATTAAAGGTGTGCGCCACCAACGCCCCACTCCTGCAGCCATTTTATAAACTGAAAAGATTTAATTCCCATACATGATGCTCTGGAGCCAAGATAGCAAAACTAATAATAATAATAATAATAATAATAATAATAATAACAATCTGTAAGTGGAAACACAATCGTTAAAAGAAGACAGTGTAGTGGCTGGTGATGCCTGTAATCCCAGCACTTGAGAGGATCAAGAGATCAAGGTTATCCTTGGATGTACAGTGAGTTTGAGGCCAGCCTAGGCTACAGGAGGCCCTGTCTCAAAATAAAAACAAAACCAGTTCTTATGGAAAATAAGTTTAGCACCTGTAATGTTATCAACGCTGAACAGAAACAAGGGCTTAAAATGGCTGTAATCACTGGGCATCAGAGCTGAATGTCTGGAATCACAGGACCCTGGAGGCTGGGGCAGTAGGACCAGGAGAAGCCAAGCCTGACTGCATATGTAGATCCTGTCTCAAACATCACCATCAGAACACAGAGAGAGAGACAGAGACAGACAGACAGACAGACAGACAGACAGACAGACACAGAAGAATGAAAGGCTGTTGTATAATCCTAACTAACACTAGACCACATCAAAAGGTTCTCCACCCTTCCAGTGTGTGTTCCTGGGAAAGCCAAGATGAAATAGAAAGGCTTACAACACTTCATGTCCTGGGTCATCAACTCTTCAACTGGTCAATGAGGGTTCAAACCCTACAGTCAAAAATTCAAACACTGTAGGCTATGGTTCTGGCAGAAATTATGCCAGGTGGGATTCCGTTATACTGAAAGTGTCCATCAGCCAGGGGGTTCCACAGAACCAGATTTTAAAAGGGGAAAGAAAGAAAGAAAGAAAGAAAGAAAGAAAGAAAGAAAGAAAGAAAGAAAGGAAAGAAGTGATCTCCCCTGTCTGCCACAGGGCCAGAGGTTATGCTGAGCTCCAGGGCAGGAACTGTAAGCTAAATGGTGGAACCTCTGTACTCTACAGGTTCTGTCAGAGATGACTAGGAAAAAGGTGTCAGTTTGGGAAGGAGGGAATGGCAGTGACTAGGAAGTCATCCTTCTGTTAGAATGCCAGGGGAAAAAAGCAATGCACCAAAGAAAAGAAACCATTACTCTAAAATGGCTGAGTGGTAAGCATCCAAGGCAAAGCCCCGAACTCAGGGTCATAATCCTAGGTGCCCATCTATGAAGAGTAATCAACTTCAGTGACACCTAGAGAAGGAAAAAATGACAGGGGATGTAGTTTCTGCAAAATCCAAAAACTTGAAAAATAAACAAAGAAATAAAAGTGACAGGCATCTTTTCACTTACAGAAAACAGCTCTGCACACAGAGGGCACTTCAATAGGGTGAATTCAACATTCCCTTAGAACCTAGTGGACTTCAAAAAGCATCAAAGAGGTAGTATAAATGAAAGTGAAGGTAAAAGGGGGATGGATGAGAACTTTTGATAAAATGAAAAGAGAAAGACCACTGCATTGCACTGCCATCTGGGTTGTTTCAAGCTCTGTAAAAGGAGGTGGAGTGGGGGAGGGGGAGATGCAGACAGAGGAATGAACAAGTAGGTGGCCAGCAAAGATCCTTCTTGCTTTCGCGTCTCTGCCAGGCTGCTGCTGCCGCTCCCCCTACTCAAATGACTAAGAAACTTGCTTAAATACACTAAACACAGGATCCCTGAACTTCTTCTGTAAAGCTCTTAATTCAGTGGGTCATGAAATCTTAATCTAAAAACACTCGTCCATTTATAATCAAGCTGAATCACACTGACAACTGGGGAGGGAGGCTGGGCAGAGAGAATTTGAGTTTGGAAGGACTGGGACCCTGGGGACTTTGGTTTACCACTTTGATTCACTTTAACTCCCTTTAAAGGTGCCAGAAATACCAGTGTCTAAGAAGAGTGTTATCACAAGGTGGGAACTAACAGAGGAACTACATTCTCCAATTCAATACAAGGAAAACAGAAAAAAAAAATGTGATGCAATTAAGAAACTCGTGTTAGAATATAGAATATATTTAAGAATGAAGAATGTTGGATGGTAGATATGAAGGAAAGCTATAGAGAAAGGTGACAACATGCTATTTGGCAGTTCTATTATGATTAGCGTGTGCCAGGCACTGTTCTAATGTTCCCAAGAGTGCATATTTTTCTAATCTTTAACCAAAGTGCCAGCATCGTTCCTTGCATTAATTGGTGAAGAAACAGGCACAGAGAGGTTGGATAACTTGCCCCAAATTACACAGCTAAGAAGAAGCAGGACTAAGATTCAAACCCAGGCACTGATACACTGAAATCTGTGCTTCTAATCTCTCTGGGCTCCTCTAGAACTTAAACAAAGAATGAGAACTAGGCTGGGAGTAAAATTTAAGGCATGTCCTGACTAGATCTGGGGTCATGAGGTTAACTCTTAGTCATGGCCCTGTGATGACCAGCCAGCCTGGTAACCATCCCAGGCCTTAAGTGTCTTATCTGTACAGTAAGGGAAATGAATTAGATGAGCTGTGGCATTTTAGCTCTGAAAGATCCCAAGTTCATGCTGACCATTAGCAGCATGGACTGGCCTGCCTTCTGGCTGGCTGAAAGCTTCATTTATCCTCACATGAGCAAGGTGGTTTACAATTATTTCTTCTGCTTCCTGACCTTCAGGCAAGGCTGTGAAGAGGGGAAATGCACTCTGCTTAATGTGGTTGTAACCCAATGGCCCTTGAAAAGCTCTGGGTACAGATCATGTTGACTCTGCCAAACCTGCAATCCCTCCCCGGTCTATTCTCAGATCCTGCCTCTGGGCCAGGTAAAATTGACAAGCTGGAGGTGGAGGCACCCACATAGAGGAACCAGAAGGACTAACCCCAGCTGAACACTGAAATAAACCACTCGATTAATTCACCTTTTTGGTATAATCTATTCCACTTACATGCAGGCATGCACACATGCACGTGAGAGCTAAAACCTCAAAAATCATTATGGGTGAATTCAACACCCCCTTGGAATCTAGAGGACTCTGGTAACTACCCCACTCAACCTAGTCATCAAATGTTGCCCAGAGTGCACTGGTGGATGGAGAAGGGCCTTACAGATGGATCATACAATCCTTCCCTTCCCAAGCATCCCAGACAGGTGGCTGTCATCTGGCCTCTGCCTAGGCACTTCCAAGGTCGATGCTCTGGCTGCCTAGCCTGGCAGGCAGCCCAGGGCGCTGCTGGACAGTTCTTGCTATGGGGAAAGCCCACGAAACACCTAGAACAGTTGCTTCACAAGCTCAATAAAGTGCGCCTTCAAGTAGGTCAAAAATTGCTTCCCTAGAACGTGAACCCATCAGTCGTAGGTGAGCACGGGGATCCCAAAACGCAAAGGCCCAACAATTATCTCGGGCTTGTAGTCAGGCCCTTTCAGATTTCCAGCATCCAGCAACCCTGTTCCCCGAGTCTGGCCCGGCGGATACCTCCCCAGGCCCAATAGTGGGCATCGATGGGGAACAGGGGGTGGCAGCCAGGAGGCCTCTGTCGGCCTTGTCCCCAACCTCGGTTCTTCGAGCAGGAGAGGACAAAGGACCTTCAGGAAGGCGTATCCCACCCGTGGGTTGGGCCCCCCCGCCACTAGACAAGCTGGCCCTCCGGATCCCCGCAGTGCCAGGTGACAGTCCCTGAACAGTCTCCACAGATCCGGAGCACACAGGCTGCGGCGCGATGGGCCGAGCCACGCTGGGGACCGGGGACTCGGGATTCTGGCCCGACGCCTCCAGAGAGCGATCCCGGCTTGGTGGAACTCTCTTAGCTGAGGCTTTACCTGCGCTCGTTGACTCCAGCGGTCCAGCTCGCCCGGTGTCCGGTTCCCGCAGCTCCACGGCTGCCGGCTGCGCTCATAGAAATACAGCCGGAACCCCTGGCCAGCGCAGCTCCCGAGCTCCCGCCGCTACCGGCCCCGCCCAGGCAACTGCCGCCACGCCCCTGACGACCGCCTCTGCCACGCCCCTAAGCAAGGGTACCCCACTGCTCATTGGATAACCAAGCGGCCACTCTATTTGTTCAGAGCGCTTATTGCGCTTGGTTGGCAGCCCATTGGTCGGTGGGGCTGTTCCTCAGGGTGGAGGAGGTGATTCTTAGCAGACAGTTCTTCTACAATTGGTTACTTTTGATGTCTTCGGCCAGTGGGCAAAGACACTATTGGGTAAGGCCAGCCCCAAGAGGCGGGATAAAGGGAGCTGGCTAGAGGTGGGTTGTGTTTGATGGTTGATACCGGGTGAGGTGATGGGAGAAGGGTCCATTGTGACTGCTAGCTGGGTTCTGGACCTGGAAAGCTCTGGAATCCCATGGGGACGAATGGGGGAAAGGGATAGCCCAGCTGTGGGGTTCTCAGCTCTGGTGTGCCCCAGGAGGACGGACCTGTAGCTCAGGACGCAGGTGACGAAATGTGGAGTCCTAACTTCGAAGGCCAGAGGTGGTGAGTCACCAAGCCAGAAAGGGACAAAGAAGTGAAGGCTGCGACCTCTGACCTCTTTCAGCTAAGGACGTGGGTGGGGGCATGCGGGGCTTTATGAACCTGTTATTGCCTCTCTGTTCTTTCATTCTTTAAGCAACCGTTACAGGTTGGAAGCTTCTTGGAAGAAGGTAAAAGCTTTGAAGTCAAGTTAGAAGGAAGGATGTGCTAGCAGTGCGGCCTCGGCCGCGTCATTTAGCCTTTCGGCGTTGTGCTGATTTCATTTGGTAAGTGCTGATGAGAAGATGAGGGCGAACAGTGACTGGCATTCCACAGGCCTTCATCAAGGTGCTGATTTCATTTGGTAAGTGCTGATGAGAAGATGAGGGCGAACAGTGCCTGGCATTCCACAGGCCTTCATCAAGACTCACTCACTGTTCGCCACTCACCCTCTCCATCCATGCAGCTAGGCCCAGTTCTAAAATTCTGCGAGCCTGAGGCTGCGTGTGCAATGGCACGTGCTTGACTAAGAATAGAACACTGATGACTGGAAATGCCACTCCAGTGGGGCAGCAAGGGACACACTGCCAAGACTCAGAGAGGCTACAAGAGAGGATGTAGAAGACATGGAAGAACCACATAGCCAGAGGAAGGAGGTTGTATTTGAAGCAATGCTAAATTTTCGCCAACACATTTCAGGATGGTGACAAGGAAATTAGGAGCCAACTCACAGAGTGGGAGCAAACTGGGTATGGTGGCTCATGATTGTTATCACAGCAGAAGACTGAGGCAGGATTGCTGTAAGCCGAAAGCCAGACTGAGCCTTGTCACAAACAAAGAAAAACAGCAATGTGAGCAAATAGCATCCTTTGAAGGGTGCTCAGTGCTGAACCAAAAGTCACTCTGTAAAGAACCTGTCAGGCTCTCCTGAAGCCTGTTTCTCATTCTAAAGGTATGGGATGCCCCAGAGTGTAGACAGAATGGACTCTTGGAACTGCATTGAACCCCAGACCTTTAAGCACCAATGGGAGGGGAGAGAATACATCACTGTTGTGTTTTTTTATCCCATTGTTATGTTACCTCAATAAAGTTTCATCTCAAGGCTTATTTATTCCTCTGTATTCTGTCCCATCTTGACAAAAAGCCCAGGCTTTGGTAGCAAACAATTTTACTGAGGATCAGCCTTCCCCATGGTCCTGACTTCTCTACTGAAACGGTTTAGACTTAGAGAGATGAGCTTTTGATTTGTCACCAGATAAGGCTGTTAACCAGTTTGATATAGCCATCTCACTAATACACAGGTACCAAGACATCGTGTGGTAGGTGTGTCATAAATATGTACTATTGCCAATTAAGAAATTCTTAAAAATGATGAATTTATAAATAGATTTGCTGTCAGTTGAGAGTTGTATTCATGAGTGTGGGTGAAGGCGTGTGTGTGGGTGCACACACTTGGTTCTAAGCTACAGTTTTCTGGTTTTTCCTTTAAATAGAGCTGGTTGGTGGTATTGCACATGGTTGCACACGTGCTGAGGAAGCCAGCTCAGCCTGATTTGGGTCTCCTCCTGCACATGTCTGCTGGGCCTGAGACATCTTCTTTGGCCTTGGAATGGCTGCAGTGGCTCCTGGGATCTCAGATGAGTTCTCTAGCTTAAAGCCCAGCCATAAAAGTGACTGTTTATAATAAACAGCAGACAGCTCACCATGGTAAAAGTGGGTTTTCCCTCCTGTCTCAGGAACCTAGGTTCAGCCAGCAGTGCTAGCAAAGGACATCTGCCAGTTTGGGAATTCTCAAACATAGTGGGCCACTGAGGCTTAAGAAGCAGTGCAGACTAAGCCTAGGCAGAGGAGGGAGCTCACAGGACTTTGTGACTGGGTGGCCTGAAGAAGGATCCATTATCATAATGACGCTCAAAGCACTGTTTTCTTATTTATCTCCGGTTTCCATTTCCTCCCCTCTCTCAGGGCTCTTGCCATATTCTGTTTAATCATATTATTCCATTTTACAAAACATTGATTCAGGAGGCCATTTAGGGGGCAAAAATGGCCTCATTTTTGCCTTCAAGTTTAGCAGCCTACAGGGATGGAGGACTCGGTGAGCCTTAGCCTGAGATACTCAGGTGTCAGAGTGTGTCTATAAAGCATGGAGGTGTAGTTCACCATGGGGCCCTGGGCTCCAACCTCAGCACAGCATAGACCTTGTCATTCCAGCACTTAGGAGATGGAGGTGGGAAGATCATAAGTTCAAGATCACCTAAAGTCAGTGTGTCCCTGCTCACATTCTGTGTTGGTTGAGGCTCTGGGACTTCATTGATGTGGACTGGGTTTAACGCCATGATGGCCAAACAGGGTTTCACTTGAGTCTAGAAGTACCCTGGAAGATGGAGGAGCCATAAGTAATACATCCTCTGTTCATTGTCTTCAGGCAAGCCCAGTGGTTTCCTAGCCTTGTCAGTTATTCTCAGTCCTCAGGGAACAACTGCCAGCAACCAGCTTTGGAATCTCTGCTGTTGGCGTTGAACCCTGCTTCTACCCTCCCTAGCTTTGTGGCTGTGGACAAGCACAGTGCCTTTCTGTGCTGTCCTTTTCTTTAGTAAATACAGCCAACTGTAATGGGCTTCCCTCGTGGGTCCCTAAGACTAAGCAAATGGACAGACGACAGTTTCAGCCGGCACCTGGCAAACGCCAAGCTCTTAATAAACCTTTGTCGTAGTTATGAGAGGAGCCATTGAGGAACCATTCCCTAAATCTGCCTCATTTCCTAGGTTTTCTCCTTGGTGATCAGTGTCTAGCATACATGCACGTGTGCACACACATGTGTATGTGTAACTTAATTCAAGCCTTTTAAAACAAGGCCTCATATAACTCAGAATGGCCTCAAATTTGTGGCCCTCCTCCATTAGCCTTCCTAGTGCCGGGCCTGCAGTGGAACTCCACCACACCACCCTCTTGTGTGGATTATCTGAAGGATTGTGTCAAGGTTCAGGGGATTAGACCTCATCAGCTTAGTCACCGTGAGGGCAAAGGGAGAGAGTGAGGCTGAGACAATGATACTGAACGCTGTAGTCCGGACATTTAGTCTGGATTCCTCTGACAGCCTGATATGGCTCAGACAGTCGATGCAACATTGTCGATTTATTGTGACACCCAGGGCTGTTTATGGGAAGTTTAGGTTCAGAGTGTGCTGTGCCTCCTGGTCAGCTTCTCACTGATTGTGGTGATTAACTTGGTTTAGAAGTTCTAAGGCCCAATGTGTTACAGGTCAATGAAGACAAGCAAGGATGCTATTCAAGGACCTGGTTCCTTTTGTTATTAGAAAAAGCTTCCAGCTGACTGTTTAAGACGGCAATGATGGGAAAATAACCTTCTCTTTGGCCTGTGCTGTTTCCTTAATTTACATGTAAAGTTGTCTATAGTAAGGTTTTGAAATGGGGCAGGGCTGGCAACATGGCTTAGTGGGTAACTCACTCACTGCACTGATGGTCTGAGTTTGATCTCATGTCGAGGTGGAAGAGAGAACTGATACCACAAGGTTGTCTTCTGACTTCCAGAGGTTACTTGCCCATCTCACACACACACACACACACACACACACACACACACACACCAGTGTTCCAGACTTACTATTAGATACATAAAAAAGTTAGACAGGTAGGTGAAATCTCAGTCACCAAACATTTCTCTTCTTGACACCATCCTTAATTACAGCAATAAAAATTGACTGCTTCCCACTATTAATTCCAAAGAAGTCAATAAAATGTGTGCATTAAGTAAGTGTATCACAAATCCTTTCCTACTGAAATTCATGTGCTTGAGCTATTTTAAAGCTACTTAAATCCCTTTAGAGACCCATATAGTGTTTTTATCATATTTTTAATTAACCAGTCAGTAAACAGTTTTACTGAACAACATATTTTTAGTGCTAGAGAGATGGACTAAACTGTGAGGCCAAGTCCTGTCCCTGCGTGGGTGGGTATATAGGACAAAGGGGAAATCCTAGAGACACCTCAGGAAACATCAGCAGTAAAAAGCTTAGTTCAGCCTGTGCTGAACATCTCCATTCAGAAGAGGGAACAGTTTCTTCTGATTTGGATTCATAGACATTTGAGCCGGTGCTTAGATGCCCCTGGCATGATTCAGAGGGTGGTATTCGAGGTGGTGAAGGTAGCAGCCTCAGAGTCCTCTAGGTAGAAGAACTCAAGACAGCCAGGCATTGGTGGCGCACGCCTTTAATTCCAGCCCTCGGGAGGCAGAGGCAGGGGAGTTCGAGGCCAGCCTGTCTCCAGAGTGAGTGCCAGGATAGGCTCCAAAGCTACACAGAGAAACCCTGTCTCGAAAAACCAAAAAAAAAAAAAAAAAAAAAAAAAAAAAGAACTCAAGACAGCTTGGCCAGAGTGGAATCAGAGTGTGAAAATAACAGGAGAGATGAACAGATGGACCAGAGGCCGGTGAATGCTTTCACCTGAATTAATGGCTTTGCCTGGTGTCCTGCAGGGCGTACATCCCCCATCACCAGGCATCTGCATGCCTCCTTCATAATTTTGACCCTATCTCTGTATCCCCTCTTCTGTAACTTATACTTACATTAAATTGATTCACTTAAATTCTTTTTGAGTCAGGTGTTTTTAGGTAGTAGAGGCTGGCCTTGAACTCATGAGCTTCCTCCCTCAGTGACCTGAGTGCTGGGATGATAAGCAGTACCACCATTCCTGGATTTTGGCATTGTTCTTTCTTTGTGTGTGTGTGTGTGTGTGTGTGTGTGTGTGTGTGTGTGTGTGTGTGTGTGTGGGAGAGGGGGAGAGAGAGAGAGAGAGAGAGAGAGAGAGAGAGAGAGAGAGAGATTTTGTTTTTTGAAACAGGATCTCATATAGCCCAAGGTGGTCTCAAGCTTGCTACTTGCTATGTAGCAGGGACTGGCCTTGAAATCCTGATCCTCCTGTCCTTACCTCTCAAATGGTGGGGTAACAAGAGTGTGCCACCATGCCCAGGTGCGCTTTTGCTTTTCAAGTGGAATGGCCTCTTCCGACTCATCCTAAATCAGTGTTTTGGTTTTGGCTTGGTGATGCTGAGGATTGAATCCAAGGCGCCTCACATCCTAGGCAAACACAATACCACTCAGCCACATCTTCAGTCTAATCAGTACTTCTTAACTGTCAACAATTTTCTTCCCAAAGACATTTTTTGGTTGTCGTATCTAGAAGGGTGCTGTTGGCATTCTGTGAATAGAGACCGGGGATGTGGCCGAACCACCCATTGTGCGGAGAATAGCACCTGATCATATGAGATTACCTGGCCCCAAATGTTGGGAGTGCTGTGGCTGGGGACCTCGGTGGACAGAAGCATTGCCTGTGACACTTCAGACTTGATGTGATGGTTATGATTATTCTGATTTCATTAAAACCATGTCATAACTGTTAAAATTTAAGATATTCTCCCATGTTCTACCCTAACCTCATTTGTTGTGTCATCCTTGATGCAGATGTGGGACCTTAAAAGTTAAAGAGCCAGGCAGTGGTTGCCTATGCCTTTAATCCCAGCACTCAGGTGGATCTCTGAGTTCGAGGTCAGTCTGGTCTACAGAGTGAGTTCGGGACAGTCAGAGCTACACAGAGAATCCCTGTCTCGAAAGAAAAATAAAGTTAAGATTGGTACACATAGGTATTTGTATACCAGTGTTCATCACTGAATTGCTCACAACTGCTGAAAAGAAGAAACAGTCTATGGCAGGGGAGAAGTGGGTACGAAAAATGAAATTCTGACACACTACACCATGAATAATCCTTGAGGATGTTAGACTAAGGGAAATCATCCAATAAGAATAAAGCAATAAACACTGTAACATTTCACTTCTGAAAGGTACCCCGGCAAATAAATAAATAAATAAATATTTTTAAAAAGGTACCCCTGCATGTATTAGTCTTTCTGTATTCACAGATTCACCTAGTCTGGAAATATCATATAAATGGAATAATACACTATGTGCCATTTATGTCTGTCTTTCACTTTGTTTTAAAAGCTCATCCATATCATAGCATGTATTATGACGTCACTACTTTTTACCATCGAGTTGCATATATCCAGATACATACCTGTGTCAGTCAACTTGC